GTAGGTAGGTAGGTAGGTATATATGTATACATACATACGTACACCCTATAGGCACACATACACATATGTGTCTTTAGTCTTGATTTTCCTGAAGCTCCATCCCTCATCCCGTCCCGAAGTTTATGAACCGGAGGAGCGTGTTCCGATGCAGCTCCTTCGGGCACCCTTGAAAGAAGGAGTCCGCGTGGAGGCTGTTCGCGTCGGTGTTGGAGTGCCCGAATCCCCTAAACCCGGGTACACCGGAAATGCATACAATTACCAGTACTACTTTTGGGGGTTCCTTATTATGACACGTTTAGTATATTATACCCCCCCAAAACCCTATCCTAAGTATTAAGGCCCCTGTATGAAGCCAGAAATACCCCACATTGTGGCTACGCTTGTGCGAGGAGCTTGGGAACTCCTCGAGCCATAAGAAACCCTAAGGGTCCAAGTACTTGGGTTTAGGGTTTGGGGTTTAGGTTTTAGGGTTTAGGAATTAGGTTTTAGGGCTTAGGGTTTAGGGTTTAGGGTCATTTGGGGTTGCTTAATGTAGGGGCCCTTAATAATTAAAATAGGGTTTGGGGTATATTATACTATACCTATAACACGGAACCCCCCACAACCCTAGTCTAGTTATGAAGGCCCCTGATCATAGACCCTCCCGAATTATTACCCTACATACCTAGTATCATCAACCGAAGTACCTTACTATTGGGTCCGTTGGACCCTTAGGGAAAGAGGCTATAGGTTCCAGGAGCGTAAGAGCTTGTCGTTAAAGGGCCTGCTTGGAGTACGTACTGCATGGGACCCCCGGGCAGTGATACGAGTGTAGATGTGTAGGATGTCTCGGGTTGGGTTTATTCCTAGTCTGTCGCTACCTGCTGTTGCTCCTGCAGAAGTTTTCGCCGGGTTCAAACCCTAAACCCTAAACCCTAAACCCTAAACCCTAAACCCTAAGCCCTAAACCCTAACCCCCGGGCCCTCAGGCCCCTGCGGTCAGCGATCGTGAGTGCTAGTCCCCAAAGAGCAATATGGGAGTTTCCGAAAATTAGGGGGTACCTTATTTTGGGGTCCTTATAATAAGGATCCTACTATTTAGGGTACTATATTAGGGTCCCCTATTTTCGGAAATCCCCATATTCTACTGGGGTGTTTTGTTCTTTGAACATTGGTGCGGACTAGTCCCATGAAGGAGCTGCTCAAACCCTATAGCGCCCTAAACCCTAGACCCCAAAACACACCCAAACCCTAAAGCCCTGAACCCTGATTCTGGTGCCGTTTAGGTTTGCAACTTCGGCTTCGTTGCAAAGATTTCTTCTGGTAGCTTCAGACATAGGGCGTCCCCAACCAGGGTTTAGGCTTCAGGCTTTCAGAAAATCAGGAACCTTAATTCGGACCATCCTTACTTGATATCATACCCTAACCCCAAACCTCTAAAGCCACGGACTGGAAGATCATACTTCATACGGAGACTTCTCGGACAAGTAGTTAAGTAGTTTAAGAAACCCACTTTTAGGTCTAGAGTCTAGAGTTCAGGGTTTAGGATTTGGGTATCGGATTTGGGTCTCTCGGGCAATGCAAATTTGCTGCATTCTCTTCAACTTTAACCCATCACTCGGTGTGATGCCTCAAAAGACACACCCTGAACTAAAGCCACTGTACCCTAAACCCTGTAATAACAGCTCCTGACATTCCGCACACGAGGTCAGGAACAGTTTTAGCTGTCAGACCTCAAAGCAGGCATGATCTATGCACTGGGAGTGATCTTGGAGGGTCACCCTGAGCTCCCGACCCTGTACCTTCATCCCTAAGCCGCAAGCCCTAAACCCTAAGAAATGTCCAAGTCCGCACCTAACTCCTGGCTAGGCATACTCGGAGTCGTGCGCTGGCTGCAGCAATGCAACCGTGATTTGAGGGAACTCCCAGACGGATTAGGATTCAGGGTCTCGGCTCTAGGGTGGTTAAGGGCTTAGGATAAAGGGGTGGAGAATGTCATTTCCATGCACGCCCGAGGCCCTAAGAGTGCACAGTTCTTGATTGTCGAGTAGGGTTTAGGGTTTAGGTCAGGTTTTGTACCGAGTGTTCTTCAAGGTTTAACTTAAAGCTGCAATAGGGTTTAGGGTTTAGGGTTTAGGGTTTGGCACCTTCAGCACTTCGTCGGCGTGGGTTTCGGTACCCTGAACCCAACCTGCACCCTGAGCCCCCTAAGCCTGGAACACGGTTTAGGGTTTAGGGTTTAGGGTTTAGGGTTTAGGGTTTAGGGTCAATCTGAGCACTAAGCCCTAAGAACCCTGAATTAACAAAATCTTGAACACTGGACCCTAACCGATGTTCACGTCAAAGTTCGCGAAGCGTCCCTAGCTGGATGCTAACCTAAAGCCCCGAATCCTAAACCCTAAACCCTAAACCCTAAACCCTAAACCCTAAACCCTAATGAACATCCCCAAGCCCCAAACCCCGAGACCCTAAACCCCTAAACCCTGAGCCCCAGACCCTAAACCCTAAACCCCTGAACCCTAAACTCTAGACCCCTGAACCCTAAGCCCCAAACCCTAAGCCTAGGCTCCCAAACCCTGAACGGAATCCGAAACTTGAGCCCCGCGGCCGACACTGAATTGCAAGCCCGGGGCTTAGTTCTATACAGTTTAGGGTTTGCGGTTTATGGTTTTGTTTGGGTTTAGGGTTCGGGATTTTGTTTGTTTTCAACTTTTGTTTTGTTATTTCCCTGAGCCCCCGAAACCCGAACTTTTCGAGGCTGCAGAGATGGGTCCCGGCGCTCATCTTAAAAGAGCCCATGCGAACAGTCGCTCACTTGGCTTCTTTCTCTGTTAGGGTTTGGGGTGTGGGGTTCTTAGGGGTGCTTCGAAATACTTCTTACTCTTTGGTTAGTAGAATCCCGAAGAAACAGCCCAAATTGTAGCTTTTGCGAGGGTCCAACTTCAGTGTGGGATTTCGGGTGTGGGCGGTTTACGGCGTGTCTCGTCCGCACTCAGAAGCCCAAACTCTGACCAGTAGTGCAATACAGGCGGCGGGAATGTTTGGAGTAGGGTTTTGGGTGGGGTTGCAGTAGAGTTACTTAGATAGCCAATGAGAGAACTTTAAACTTTTTGGCCTTGTATATTAGGTCTATCCTAAAAAGTTTGAACTTTTTTGGGCCTGGTTGTTGAAGAAGTTATAGAGAGACCACAGAAGGGGTGCCATCACCAACCATTCAGACCTTCCCGGTATTCGTTCATAAGGCTCTTTGGGGATCTGGTGGTATCGGTTCAGGGTTTGGGGTGAGGGTTCTTCTGTTTTGGTCTCAACTTCGGGGTCGAGGTACTAGAGGAATCCACCCCTTCCTCTGTAGTGTAGCGGTTTAGGGTTTAGGGCTATCCCTCGTTAAACGAGAAGGCCCTGCTGTTGAGGTGTGTTCGCAGGCACACAATCCAAGCCCATGCTGAAAAGGGTTTAGGGTTTAGGGTTTATCCCAATATGGGTTTCTTCCTCGCGTGGCTATAATGGGTGCCCGAAAGCTAGCACCCCCTCCTTGCGGATTGATTTCTTCATCGACCGGAATTCGAGAAGTTCTTCACTTTGTGCAAGGAAGCAAAATGCCTGAGTGAAGACTAAGAGGGTTTAGGGGCTCGGGGTTTAGGGGGTTCGAGGTTTAGGGTTTAGGGTTTATATGGGTGTAGGGTGTAGGACACCTGTCATTTATCCTTGAAACAGCCGAAGGTCAGGAGCAGTTTTGGAATTCTCCGAAACTCAGGGTTTTGGTTCGTGCAGGGCCTTCATGGTTTAGGGTTTAGGGTTTAGGGTTTAGGACAAGAACAGGGCTCTACGATCCGGTAGAGCCCAAACCCAAGCCCTATACTCTCTAGGGTCTTTCGACCTTGCGACGTGGTGTGGGAACATAGAAGCTTGAATAATAGGTACACAACACTACTCCTTCCGGTTCTTTAGCAGAATGCACTATTTCTAAAGATAAAGGCCCCCATGTCATGTGATTGGTTGTCAAAATTGTGGTCCCTGTTTGGGTCCTCATTGTAACACGGGACCTATTATTTAGGGTACCCCAAAAGGGACCATAATTTTGACAACTACCCATGTGATTC